ATTTGTCGAGAGAGAAGAATCGATGGAAAAATCCAGCAAAGAAGTGACAGAAAGCGTGAAAGAGAGAGAGAGAGAGAGAGAAAGCACAAGAATGAAGAGAAAAAAACGTTTTGTTTGAGGGGGTGAGACTTTGGGGAAGGACCTTTAACGGACAAATTTTGGTTTCTAACGGTCGGATTCGACACCTGGTGAGTTTGAAATTCCAGGACCCGTTTAGGGTTTAGCCATTTAGTAGGGCTTATCAGGGGATGAGGGGTGGAATATTAGTTAGAGGATCTGCGTTAGGGTTGGGACCTTGGCTAAAAACCACCAGCTGTGCGGTTCTTGAGAAATAAGTCAAATTAAAGGAAAAATGGTTTGATAGTGCTGCAGCCTCACCTCATAACTCACCTCATAACTGATGGAGAATTGCAATTCAAGCTTTAAAAAACTTTTATATCGATCATATTGGCTTGAACATGATGGTTGTGGAAACAAATTCGGATTTCAAGTTCTTAAAATAGTGTATTGTAATAAATTATCCAAACTGTTTTTTTCGTCCTAAAAATAAGTATTCATAGATTCATAAGATCTTTAAAAAAAAAAATAGTTTTAAATTTCATTTTCAATATTAGAAATTGATTTTAAAACCACCATGGAGATTTTCATTGCCGAAAGTTCTTTTCAAGCAAAGATTTGAGGTGAGGCTTTATTTTGTTTCCATAAAGCCAAGGCCTTATAGAAACCTCATACCAAATTAAAACCCTAAAAGGGCACCTATTGAAATGGAGATTGTCAAAAAGGAAGAGCTGCACTATCAAATTAAGTAGAACCGCACCTCAAAACTCATCAAAAATTGTAGTTTTGATTCAGGAAAACCTTCAAATTAATTTTCTTGAAGGAAAAAAAATCACCCTAAAAATGAGTGTTCACAAATATGTTAGATAAGTACCATTTTTTAAGCTTCAAATTTCATAATCAACCTTAAAATTGATTTTAAAACCATCATGAAGATTTCCAATTCCCAAAATGCTTTCCAAACGAGGATTTGAGGTGAGGTTTCACTTTGTTTTTATGAGGACTCCGTCTTATAGAAACTACATCCTTCTCAAAAACTTATACTAGAGATAGATTTTGGACTTAAAATTTTATATATTTTCAACTACCATGATTATAAATTCTAAAAAGGAATGTGGATGTGTTTTAGGCTCTAAATCCTTCTCTAAGATGGATTTTTGGAAGGGGAGTAATTAGAATAGGAACCTAGCAAAACTTTTCTAATAAAAAGGGGAAAAGTTTAAACAATGTCTTGTTCAAATGCAATCCCCTGAAAAAAAAAAAAAATGCATCTTAGAGATAGATTTAGGATTTAAAACACATATGACGTCATTCTAATTAATTTCCTCTTTAGATCTATGATTTTATGGCTCAAAATTGTTTGCAGATTTAATTAAAATGAACGGTGATGAAGGGTCCAAAAATAAAGTTTAGAATAGTATCTTTAATTTTTTCTTATTCATGATCGTGGTGTTGAAGATTACTGGCCTAGAAAAATTTGTTGAAAATCCATCTTTAAGACTACTTATTGATGGGGACTATATTTGAATAGGTGCATCAGCTAACACACTAGAACCGTCCATTAGTAAAGGGTGTGGTTTGTATAGAGCCTAGGCTCTAAACAATCAAATTAGAGCCTACCTTCAAATAATGTTGAGAAATATCGTTTCATTACTGAAAATCTTTGTGATAGCTTTAAAATATATTCATATTTATTTATAAAGCTTAAAACTTCAAAATAGTATAGACCAAAAGATCTATGAAAACTTGAAAATATTGAAAAATTGATGGTCCAAAAATGAGTTACAAAAGACACTATTTCCAAAACTTGAAATCCATTTTTTTCTCGTGTCTATGCATCTTGATATCGAGATGATCAATTTGAAGATATTTGGGCATCAAAACAATCACTTTTAGTAAAAATTTTGAGGTAGGTCAAAATTATTGTTTAGAGCCTCGGCTCTATATAAACTTTTCCCTTAGTAAAATAACCATAGTATTCGGCTTTTGAATCATATAAATATTATTAAACTTTGAATTGTATCTTTTGGCCTTGTAGAATTATTGTTACATAAGCTGCAGCAGTTTAATGTACCCAAAAAAATAAGTTGGAGCAGTTTACTCATTTACTATTCCTTTACTTTTGACTTGGGCTATTTATCTTTAGTACAAAAGGTCATTTATAAATAATTATTATATGTGAAATCTGATAACTTGAGTTGTAGTACAAAGCTCATAAGTTTCTTTTAAACTTTGAGCCTAGATAGGACACCTCCCTCCATTCGATTTCATATCCATTCGCGAAGATATATCTTATTGCGTACATTTCCCAAAGCATTTACCAAAAATACTTATAAAAACTTTTACATAAAAATTAAATTTGATTGTTTTAAATAAATGAAGAAATTGCTTATTTTTTCTTTTGAAGAAATTAGGAGTTAGCATTTGTAATGCATTAGTGTGGTGATGGTAGTGGTGGGAATGGATACCACAACATAGTGACTTGGGTGTGGGGTGCTACCACCACAACCCCAACCCCAACCCCTATTTGAGCCTTGTGTTCTAAAATATCAATCTAAGAAATAAAGTTGAGAATACATTAGGCAATGTATTCATTATTACCAATAATTCAATGTTTTAACATATTGTGGTTTCCATTCCTGACACTAACACCTTTAAAAATCTAACTCTTAATCTACTTAAAAAAATGGGTAGGTACCTATCTTCCCCACTGAATTATCCAAAAAACAGGACTATGTTGTTGGGCATTGTCCATTCCAAAATTATCTTAGATAAACTTATGTCATTTTATGTACATGCATATATATTATACGCCCTCTAGAACATAATTTACTTCTACTCCCTCGTAGAAGGACTTACTTGGGAGGATCTTTTCAATCTGAAATTTGGGAACCACTTAAGGATTAGTAGATGATTATTATAAAGAAAATTGAATTTTGAGTTTTCTAACTTTTAGATCTCACCATCTAAAAAAGGGATAGTCCCTATTCAATCTTGAGATATGATTGTTTTCAAGTGCATATAGGGTACAATTATATATATATATATAATGCTGAGATTAGCCCACTAGCTCATATGAACATATGAGCCCAACCGCCCATATTGAATCTGGGTCGATCTAACAATCACAACCTCATTTCTTATTTTAATTTTAATTTTCTTTTTATAAATCTAAATAATTTGAAATTTTAGGCATGTATTCTTCAAAAAATATGATAATCTAATAAAAATACCAAAAAAATAATTTATAATAAATAAATTGACCAAAATACCTTTGAAACATTTTTAGGGGATTTTGGTCAATTTATTTTTGCGAATTATTTTTAAAATATTTT